AAAGTGAACAGTCTAGCGACTAAACCTGTCATCTTTGAAAAGCTCTAGTATAATCATTACTACTGTTTCAAATGAGTGCAGAAATAGCATTTGACTGAAGGAGTACCAATCCGATCGCTCATCACCCGCTACTTCAGACAATAACACATGTTTTGCTTTTGTTCTTCAGCTGTCGATTTGCTAATCTTCGTTGAGCATCTGTTGTAGGCTGAGCTAGCGAAGACTCTGATGGCTGAAAGAAACAACCTGTATTCGTGAGAATTTGTAAGAATCTTGAACTCATGGTCAGAATTCATAGCGAATGTATGTCAATAAGGTGAGCAAATGATTGCAATGATTGTGCGTGATAACGAGTTTTCTGCATTTTTGAAATAAATTCGGGCACTTCATACAATTTACTGCAGTGAGCCGTAGTTAGGATGCTGAGATAGACATGCGACTGGAAGCGGCCAAAAGAGGCATTGTTGGAAATGTCAGAAATCATGCCGTTTAACTGGAAGCCCGAGAATAGTGAAACGGTAGTATGAATACGTGCTGGGAAAGGCACTGGATCTCCTATACAAAAATTCACACAATTCTAAAGCGCAGGGCAAGCGGTTACGAAGAAGAGCGTCCGTTAGGTATGCCTCGTTTGAATGAATGGCATGGGAGAAGATTTCTTGGTTAGAACAAAGTTCACTGTTCTTGTCAGGCAACCCTGACAAGAACAGTGAATCGTGGGATGACTCGGATCAATCCAGGGAGAAGGAGAAGACGCACTTCTCTACTTACCTACTTTTGAGATTATTCATTTATCTATGTGCTTTTTTATACTCTTTTTTCCGAAAAGAAAAATGCTGAGTCGCTGAAAAATCGCCTACTCTTTACTCTGCTTTCTTTGTTGCTTGTGGACTACCCGCCTATAAAAAAGAGAAGAAATAAACTATTCCCGCCAAACGTTGCAGTCAAGCAGTGATCCACATCTACGGTTCATTAGAATCATGCAAAGCATCTGCATCTCCTCTCATAGGTATAGTTCCTAGAGTATTTTCGTTCGATTTCATTTTGATATTAGTCTGGAGGCCGGGGCCATGCCTATTGGTCTTTCGACCAAGCATAATGATTAATATTGATTAGTATAATTTATTTGATTAGGAAACGAACCGGCTCTTTGACAGCTGTTTGCACTTGATACTGTACGATACGGTATGTTCCGATTAGAGCATTCCTCGGACCACGCTCGTTTGAGTCTTCAAGCATCTGTTCTGTGATGCCGTAGCTGTTCATGATGGTCCACACCTTCAACAGAGGCAAAGTTTCGAAAATTGTTCTTGTAATTGTACTGAAGACTCTGAAATCTTGTGCAGCAAACTCTCTTTATAGAGCACACCTTTTTCGAAATTTCAGATTTCTTCTCCTCGTCTTCTTCCTGGTAAGTGCGTAAATTGAGATAAGTAGAGGGGAATCGAGATCCTCGTAACCAGATAGATTTCTGAAATGATCATTTATTTGTTTGATGCATTCTCCCATTTTGGCGTCTTGTCTATGTTCAATCTATGCTTCGGACTTTGACAAACAGCATGTACATAAAGTTTAGAGGGGAGTTCTCTCATCCAAATCATTGGAAACATTTTTCAAGAAATTTGGGTCTGTTCAATTCTAAGTATTTGAAACTTTACTTCCTACTTACTTACTTCTTTTCCCACTAAGTTCGACGAAGGGCACTTATTCGTATCAGCACGATATTGACGTCAAGAGTGAAGCCATGACCTCCTCGACTATGAGGCACACTGGATAGTGTGGACACCCATCGCGCGCCAGCATATTGGTACCCTTTTTCCTCAGATGCCAGACATCCAAGAATTTTCGCGCTCATTCCATAGGCCATACACTAGCATACTCAAAATCCACGTTCTCGCAGAATGGCGCACATAATTTTCCACTTTGGCAGAGTTTCTCAGAGGCCCCTACGAAATACGTTATTTAGTTTTTTCCCTTCAATTTTTTGTCGTGGGTGGGACAGGTGTCCAGTGTAGATAAACAAGAAGGAAATAGTGCAGTGAGATACAAGACTCGTCCCGGTTTATGGCTAAGATATGTATTTTACTATAACAACTACATACATTCAGATTAATTTTTTTGATAAATGACCAAAACGACCCCGTAACTAAATGCCTTTTCATGGGTCATAACACGGTCAATTGAGGCGCCTTCCCATTACTGGTAGAATCCCGGTAATTAAGACACGATGGACAAATACGGGCACATGAATCTTTGAGACAACCAATATAAAGTATAATGCTCACTTACCCCTCGATGTCCTCAAGTTTTTCGGTCCTTTTGAACTGGATCTTTCGCCAAGCAATATCTCTCAAATGCGCATTCGAGAAAGAGTGGCTCGAGATACTATTGGAGCTGAAAAGTGCCCTTGAAGAATTGTGAAGTTAATCATTGTAACATAACATGCACACTTTAAACGCCTATAGATGCTTTTCTAAAAAAATCTGAACTGCACGGTCACGAAATGATCACACATTTAAAGGACGAATTCACGCTGAAAAAGCAACCCATTTCAAATTAACTTAGGGATGGTGATTGGTACACGAAAGAAGGAAGAACCATGAGAAACGGCCCAGAACCCGAGAAATGGGACCCCTTCCTTCCCCGCTGATTTGCGCATTGATGCGACTCTTATCGCTGTGCCCTCCTCAACATCACGCTCTCTCTGCTATCTAATCAATCCCACGTATAGATCTGCGGCGAGTGATCAGCTGGTCGGTGGGCGGAGATCGCCAGACCCGCCAACTTTGAGGCATAATAGGTCGCCGAGGTCAAATTTTCGATGCGAATTGCGCATCAGTTCGCACCCTCAGGAGGTCCCGTGGGTACCAACTAGGTAAATTACTTCTTCCTCGACCTCCATTCTAATCGTGAAATCCTCCTTTAAGGGGAAGTTAACACGGTAGAGTGATTGCGCGCAGCAATGAGTACGTGCGCACTGGCGCGGTAAAGGGGAACCCAAGCAAACGAGACCTGGCGTTTTTTCGTTGGATTAGGACGTTGGACTAGCTGCAGCTAGTAAGGCTCAATCTCAAAACTGTGACGCTCCAACAAACCGCTTTCCATCCCGCATGTGATTGCCCAGTTGGTAGCAACAAAAGTCGGGTGGGTGTTTGCATTTCATTTCGAGGAAGCATTTCACTTCAAGCGGCCGCATTTTCAAGTCTGTCTATTCATCGTGATCGCTGCCTTTCACGCCACCTTCAAACTATTATTAGTTCATTCACTTTGAATTCGGAATCTCAATAAAGCCAGCGTGTTAGAATTCAAGGGTAGAAGTAGGTTAAGGCGTACTGGGTGGCGCAGATACACTAGAGGAAGGCCCGGCACACGAGGGCGAATGGATCGCTCTCTTTTTGTCCGTTGATTTACGCATTGATGCGATTCTCATCGGTGTTTCCCTCTTCAACGGTAGTGTTCTCCCTCTTTCTCTCCCTGCTAAACGGCTAGAGACCGGCGTATCGCATGCTCCGCATCCTTAGAAATTCGCTGACTTGATTCCCCTTCCCTCGACCTCGACCTTATCGTGGAATCCTCCTTCATTGGGAACTATTAGAATAGCGATGTTTCGGATCTTTTGTCCAACTTGCACAACGGTAAATAGGTTAAGAGTACTGCAGTTGTTTTTGTACTGAACGCCACAAGGAGAATTTTTAAGATGGAATCTTTATTTACTGGCCTTACGTTTCGACCGCTTCGTCTTCTTCAGAGGCCTGGAGATTGTCTAAAGCTTTTTGATTTGTAAGCTACTCGATCAACCGATTCTAGTATTCTCGACGTCATAGAGCGTCGAGAACACTTCCGAACACTCAGTGATGAAGAAGTAACTCACCCAAGATTCCACCGATGCGGAGCAGTAGCTCACGCCCTGTGTTAGTTGACGTCAATGAGGCAAATGAGCTCTACTCAAGTCTCGCAGTGTCATATATGTCAAAATCTGTCAATTTGCACGTCGCACTCATAGCTCGCACTTTGAAACAAAAGGCAAGAGCTCATTCGTAATCGACGGACATTCGTTTCGGCCGTTCATTCTAGGCTTCCTTGCGAAAATCCAGAATGATTCCAAAGCTTTTCTGGATGAAATCTCAGTCTCGTACGCTAACACAGAACATTTAACATCGAAGTCGTTCCGCTGTGCTCCTCAATCTTGTGCTTGCCAAGTGGGGTAGCTACATTACCACGTCTCTTCCCAGCTAAGTGCTCTTGAATACGGATACCTAGTGCTCTCCCGGTTTCTCCGATATATGTGCTATTACAGACCACACATTCAATTTGATAAATCACCCCAAGCTTACAGCTCAAGGCTCCGCTGCGTGCATTTCGGCAGATAATGCGCCGACTGCCTGTCATACGGTCTGTTTCGAACAAGCTGCCGTTTGATATTACTATTAGGAATGTTCACTAGTATGACATCATCTTGCAGCCCTGCTCTTACAATACTGTGATGCATTGCGGCGCTGACTCGATCGGAGATGAAAGGGAGGCACAAAGGTAACTTGCATTGGCGTGGTAGATGCCGCTGTTGGCCAGCACTCGATCTCGTGCGGTGCATTGGTACCGGATAGCCGTTTTCAGCAGCTATTTTCAAAGCTAGCTGCCTTGATTCCTTGTCGCTCTTGATCACTAGAACACATCCTGGTTGCTGTTCTGATCATATTCTTAATGACTGCATTTTTAACTGCACCAGGATGAGCCGATGTTGCGTGTATCAGGATGTTTTTGCAGCTAGGTTTGCGGTACCACTTTATGCTAGCAGTGCCATTAGACAGCTTGATTTGCGTATTCAGGTAGGGCAGCCAATCGTTCTTTGGTACTTCTCGTGTGAGCTTGATGTACTGTGACTGCTCATTCAGTAAATCGGAAGCATTCATCCATTTCCGACTGTGCTGATGTTACAATGAAGCAGTCGTCGATGTATCTGCAGTACATCAATGATTGACATTGATGTACTGCAGATAGATCAATGTATTGATGTACTGCATTGATACATCAATGTCATTGATTGATGTGTCAATGCAGTACACTCCATGCGAATGACATTCAAGAGCACTTAGCTGGGAAGAGACGTGGTAATGTAGCTACCCCACTTGGCAAGCACAAGATTGAGGAGCACAGCGGGAACGACTTTGATGTTAAATGTTCTGTGTTAGCGTACGAGACTGAGATTTCATCCAGAAAAGCTTTGGAATCATTCTGGATTTTCGCAAGAAACCTAGAATGAACGGCCGAAACGAATGTCCGTCGATTACGAATGAGCTCTTGCCTTTTGTTTCAAAGTGCGAGCTATGAGTGCGACGTGCAAATTGACAGATTATTGAATATACCAGTTTGGCTGCGCACGCATTCGCGTGCATGAGACGGGGCTCAGCGGTAAAATCGGGCCCATCAGTATTTTTGTCTTGATTTTAGCTTTCTGCTCGGTACATCTTACTTACGCCGCAAACTCCGCCCACATCCGGGTGTGCCACGCCCAGCGTTCACATTCAACCTCTACTCCTACTTTCACCTCTGGCGTATTTTTTTCAGGTCTCTAAGTCATCTCGGAGCCGAATTATGAGGTCTTGTAAATGGCGTTATGAGTCACGAATTTCTGAGGCAGACCCCGCCCACTTTGGTGCATGCTTAGCCCAACAATGGCATTCAACCCTACTCCATACCTCAATACTTATGCACATTTTCCCCGGTCGCCGGAACTTCTAGGAACCGAGTTATGAGAGCGGTGGCAAACTCCGCCCACATCCGGGTGTGCCACGCCCAGCGTTCACATTCAACCTCTACTCCTACTTTCACCTCTGGCGTATTTTTTTCAGGTCTCTAAGTCATCTCGGAGCCGAATTATGAGGTCTTGTAGGGGACGAAATCGAGCTACGTATCTTTGTGGCAAACCCCGCCCACTTTGGTGCGTGGGTCGCCCACTGATATCAGTCGGCTATCATCTCTTCCCCAACCTTTTTCTACTTTTCTCCCATCTCTGGAACTTATTGGAACCGAGTTATGAAGTACCGTGGCAAACCCCGCCCACTTTGGTGCATGCTCCGCCCGCCAACAACGGTTGACCCCTTTCCCTCTGCCAACCCTCATACGCTTTTTTCCCGGACTCCGGGACTCCTAGGAACCGAGTTATAAGCCTAATTGCAAACTCCGCCCACTTTGATGTAAGCCACGCCCATCCCTGACATTTAGCTTCCCCTCCCCTCCTGACCTCTATCCGTTGTTTTCCGGTCTCTAAGTCATCTCGGAGCCGATTTATGAGCTCTTGTAGAAAATGCTGTCCGCTTCACGACACGCTCCGCCCATTGTGGGCGGGCCTCCGTTCACATCATGCGTGGTGGAAATACCTTAGGCATTGCTCCCCTGCACTAATTTCGTTTCTGGTCTGTAGGCTTCCTCTTAACCGAGTTATGAATATTTTCACTGAGCACCCATTTTCTAGAGAACGCCCCGCCCACCGAGGGTGGGTCTCCTCAGTTCAATCTGGCTTACCAACCCACACCTATGCCCACTTTTGTCCCGGTCTCGAGGCTGTTTTGTGACTGAATTTGAAATCATGGTCCTCAGTACCACTCATTTCGACGCACGCCACGCCCACTGTGGGCGGGGCTCCGCTTAGGTAATGTATGTTTTTTACTTCTCGAGATATGGTACACCCATCCCAAACATGACCTGGACCCAGTAGGTTGTTGTCCGCTTAATACGGAATTTCGTGACAGACAGACAGACAGACAGACAGACAGACAGACAGACAGACAGACAGACAGACAGACAGACAGACAGACAGACAGACTTAGCGCATTATATATAGAAGGGATAGTTCTCTAGAGAACGCCCCGCCCACCGAGGGTGGGTCTCCTCAGTTCAATCTGGCTTACCAACCCACACCTATGCCCACTTTTGTCCCGGTCTCGAGGCTGTTTTGTGACTGAATTTGAAATCATGGTCCTCAGTACCACTCATTTCGACGCACGCCACGCCCACTGTGGGCGGGGCTCCGCTTAGGTAATGTATGTTTTTTACTTCTCGAGATATGGTACACCCATCCCAAACATGACCTGGACCCAGTAGGTTGTTGTCCGCTTAATACGGAATTTCGTGACAGACAGACAGACAGACAGACAGACAGACAGACAGACAGACAGACAGACAGACAGACAGAACAGCTAGCGCATTATATATAGTAGGGATAGTAGGGATATGACACTGCGAGACTTGAGTAGAGCTCATTTGCCTCATTGACGTCAACTAACACAGGGCGTGAGCTACTGCTCCGCATCGGTGGAATCTTGGGTGAGTTACTTCTTCATCACTGAGTGTTCGGAAGTGTTCTCGACGCTCTATGACGTCGAGAATACTAGAATCGGTTGATCGAGTAGCTTACAAATCAAAAAGCTTTAGACAATCTCCAGGCCTCTGAAGAAGACGAAGCGGTCGAAACGTAAGGCCAGTAAATAAAGATTCCATCTTAAAAACCTCGTTGTGGCGTACAGTACAAAAACAATTGCAGTACACTCAACATCAAATGCCGAGGTTTCAACAAAGGACGACATGGAGACTGGTAGGGAATCAGTTTACTTTTATTGATAGGTACTATTTTTGGGTAATTTATGATTAGCGGTTTTAGTCTTCTAAAAGATGATACACCGATATTTCATTTCTTGGCAAGATAATTCCTCCAGCCAAAAGTTGCATACAAGCTCCTCGTTTTTTTTATTCCAAATGATGAAAGATCTTTTTTAAATGGGCATGTGCCAAGTCATAAGCTGACGCGTGGGTGTTTGTAGTCGGAATACTCTATTCCCCGCAGACGAAGAAGAAATCGAGTGCAGATCCAACACAATTCTAAGGGAAGACAGCCAAGAAAAAGGCGCTTTTTTCATCTTGACCCGCGCCCTCTTATGGTGTGTGGATCTCAACTCCGATCTCTTTTTTTCTTTCTCGGCTTCGAAAATTGCCGTAACGTACATACAGTCATAGCATGTAAGTAAATTTTTATACATTGACACAGCTGACCCAATCTCTATGACAACAGTTCCTAAAGTTCAAAAATTGCATGGATGCTATTTTTTTCACGGACTTGTTGGTTGTAAACTAAAGTGCTCACCGTCTTCAGCTCGGGTACGGTTTCGCCACGGAATGGTGTGACTCCAATCAACATAAAGTGAAGTAAGAGACACCCAATGCCCAAATGTCGACCTTTGGACCGTTGTAACTTTCATCGCTGAAAAAAAATGAACATGTAAAAAAATACGAGTCCCAGTAACTGCAAGATTAATCTAGCCATTTCCTCGCATTACCACATAGAATGCAGAGACGGCGGTAGGCGATCAGATCAATGGATTTTGCTTGTGAATGAGGCTACAGCATTGTTTCCTGTGTATAATCCTTCGAGTGACTAGATTCCCCGCCCGGCAAACAAATATCGTAAACAACCGACTTCTTCTCTCATCAGCGTGCAATAGATGAACTGGAAGCGCAGGTGACGTCTTCGAATAGTGCCGAAACAGCCCTGAGTGAGGAAATTGGCTGTTATCCGGGGAAGGGGTCTCGATAGGTGGGGATCATGGGTAAACCATTTATCAAACAGAAAAAGTAGTAAAATGAATACAATGTGAATAGGAGGTTTACTGCAAGTTTTCGAAAATTCAGCCGCCCAGGTCACCTGGGAGCTATGTTTTCCAGTGTTGAAAGTACACATAGGAATATTTAGATTATTAGAAATGTTACAAAAACAAGAGAAATAATGGTGCGTCACCATGTGGCGCACATCGTCCGTTACGTGTTGAGCAATCGTGCACGCCCACCCTTGCGTTCTCTCTTGTCTCGCACCCGCTTACGCTCTCTGAGCGCCGTCACTCGTGCTCTGCCTCGGCACATGGTGTTTCTAAAGCGAGAGATTACGATAAAGTGCGTATGCAGCGTGGAAGTACATGCACCATTGGAAGCAGTAGTCAGGGGCCCAAGGAAACGAAATGTTGCGTTTTTGTGGTCAAAGGTGCGCTAGTTGCAGCGTACAAGGCTTGCCATTCCTTTCTGAGCCCCGCCACGGTCTGTGCTCCGCCCCCAGCAGCAGCGCCCTTCGATTGCCAATGTGACGAGATATTCCACTTCCAGAGTGTATCCTATAACTTTTCATGGGATGCGTGATCAATCAAAGCATGATGCTTGCTGAAATGATAGAGGCTATCAGCATAACATGTGCAAAGCGACCTCCTAATTGGTTGCTAGCTCGTCCATTATCGGAGGTCAACGGGCAAAGAAAGGGTCCCCCTTTCTTCTCCTGTTGATCTCCGAAAATTTGAGCCTTTGAGATCTCCGAAAATTTGAGCGTTCCTGATGGATTTTTTTTCGCTTTTTCCGCCAACTGAGGCATAATTCAACATCCCAACTTTCGCCATGAACCCAGTCCAGTTGTATCGTAATCCCTCGCTTTAAAGTGGCCGTCTCTCACTCAGACTCTACTACTACCCACAATAGAGAAGGGCTTATTTAGCGAGATCGTCATGATGCAGCTGTAGCCAATTTACAGCTGTTGCTGCTGATAGCGACTGGCACGGGTGTAGCCACCGAGCAGAGTGAGGTTGTCAAGACGTAGTGACTAAACACTCTCTATCTGTATCGACGTGAATAGCTCAGGAAGCTGAATCCTACACATTCATCTCAAAACAGATA